TTTCAAGAAGGGTAGCTTCTATTCACTCTAGGGTTAACACAAAGAACCGAAGAAAAAGATTCCCTTTCTCTTGCTGATCCGAGCCGAAACCTGTCCTAAACAATGACCCCCACACCCCTACTTGAAGCAGTTATAACTCGTTACCATAGTCACCACAGCTGGTTCAGACGAATGGCTAGGGGAGTTCTCACTTTAGACAAACTATAGGCCACACAGATCACTCAATTAAACGCTATAGGCCCCTTTTCCTTCTTTCTTTCTTTTTAAAATTCTGTAGTATGTGCCAACAAAGCCATGTCTTGAAGGACAGAATTGAATACGTCATTAACGAAATTCAATCATATTTGTGCAAAATAGTCATTTAAAATTTTGACAAAAAGCTCTATGTGTACTAGCAAAACCATGGAGGCTATTTACACAAGACTTAAATTTTCGCCATTTTTGACGATATAAAGTATTGACAATGAGAAAACAAGGCAGCTGGGACGGATTCAGGGTTAGTTTTACAACAAAAACTACCCATTTACAACAAAAAACTACCAAAAACTACTATTTCCACTGTTGAGCAATATTTTGAGTATTGTTGAGTCATTTCATTTGTATCTGTTTTGTTGATCAGAACTGTCCGCCCAGATCACGAGATTTAACGCCGCATGACCGTTTCTTTCTTTGAAGAGTCTCTTTCTTTCAGAATATATGGCAAAAATAAAAAATAAAAATAAATAAAAATAAAAAAAAAATTAAAAAAAAAAAAACAGATCCCACCTACTCTTTGAAGGAAGAAACTGAGCACTTTACCAACAAAATAAAGTCCGTATATACAAGCAAAATTTTGGAGATCACTTACCTGTTATACTAGTCAATACAGGGTATGTTTCTTGAATCATGGCGTAGGTTTCTCCCCCTGATAATTTATTCCTTATTTATACGAAAGAATAGGATTAATAAACAACTCTACAGAATTTTGTAATAGAACTTTTTAAAAAAAAATAATCTGTAGACTTAGAATATAGTTTGTCTACGGTAAGAACTCCCCCGCCACAAAGTCTGAGGCCACCTGCTGCCATGGAAACAAGAACAACGCATTTCAGAGAGGATAGCTTCTCTTCACTCTATGGCTAACACAGTAGACCGAATAAAAAGATAACCAAAACCTGTCCTAAACAGTGACCTAACACCCCTACTTGAAACAGTTATACCTTGTTACCATAGTCACCGCCACTGGTCCAGACGAATGACTAGGGGAGTTCTTACTTTAGACAAACTATGCACAGTCTGAGAAGTAACAGTTTAGTCTTTTAAATTATTTATAAAATATCCCCCCCCCCCATCAATTTCTGCACTTTAAATATTCTATGCTCTAAAAAGATTTTTAAAAAATTATGTTTCAAAACTACCAAAATAAATTACGAAATTCAAGGTTGCAATAAAAACCAGGTGTAACATTAGTGTAGCAAAGGAACTTAATGTTATACTATTATGCAATTAATATTTTGATTGTGGTGAAAACTCCTGTAACGAAAGTGGGAATTTATCTTTTGGCATGATCTAAAAATTTTTTTTAGTTAAGAACTGTTTATATAAATATAGCATTTACTACTGAAATAGAAATTCGCAGGAATTATTTTTCTATTAATTACAAGTCAGATGATCTACTTACTCTGTTACAAATTTGGAGCAAGTTTAACCGCAACTGCGTTATAACTTGAAGAAACATAGGAACTAAGTTATTATATGGAGTTAAGTTAAGAATATGGAGCTAAGTTGTCGTAATTGGAAACTTGATTACATAATACTTTGATTCAATCTGAATTCACCTTTTTAAAGTTGCAATAAATTTGCTCCGTATAATGGGTAAAGGTTAAAATATTATATTTCAATCTTTAAAAAAAATATTTCGAAAGAATATGGTTATCTAAAACAAAGCAATTATTAATACTTTCGCTCAAGTTAGTATCTTTCTGACAGAAAATATTAGCTATAAGCAGTTGTCTTAATTCTATAATACTGGAGTTTTCTCAGTAATAGTTTATCTTTAAAACAAAATATGTTAAACAAATAAAAACGACGAATAATTTGTAATGTAGAATTTCCCCTTTTAAGTTTCAATTTGTTCATTTGAAAATATTGCTTAAAACAAAATAAATACCAATAACACTGACTTAAAGTCCATAATGTGTGATTTATTGTTTAGATGAAATTCTATGTTCATCCGTAACATTTGGAAAAAAAATTTTAATTAAATAGCTACGCATCGAAATTCTCTTTTTTTTAACTTTCCATATCCTAACAGTTATTTTTATTTCATAAATTTCTGTTAAGAAAATAAAACAAAGCATGTTATAATTTTATAATGGATATTTAAGTGCTTATTTATCTATTTATTTATTTATTTATTTATTTATTTATTTATTTATTTATTTATTTATTTAATTATTTATTTATTTATTTATTCATTTATTTATTTTTCATTTATTTATTTTTCATTTACTAAATTGTGATTTGGAAAACTTGCTTTCTTAACATGAAAGTTGTATAAAGTTTAAACCAATAAAAGCGTTACTAAACCCTTATTTTTTTTATTATTTGAATTTATGAGATGCAAGAGCGTAATTTTTTAAAACTGGACAAAATGCATAATGTTTTGATAGTATAGAATAACGAAGTACGAAGTATGCGTTAATTGACAGCATTAACTTATATTTCAAGGACTCAATTATTAACCTTTACTTAATTTTATCCAATTTATTAAAATATTACTGTTCATTGCGATATATATTCCAATCTAATTATATCTTCCCATGAGAGTTTAGAGTATTTCATGATGTTCATGCTCGTCCTTAATACATAATTTTAAAATCTTTGTCAAAAACAAAGTAAAAAAAGTATACATATTTTTAAATCAGTGTTTTAGCCAAAACTAAAAAAAATGTATCGAATTCTATTGAATCAATACTGAGGAAGGCGGGAATGAAACTTGTGCTTGTTTGTGGGGGACTGCTTGCTTGTGGGAAGAAACAGAAAAGTGGTTATTAAAATATCCTCAACCATCATCAGACAAATGAAATTGGTTTTGATAATTTTTATCCCAACTTAGTAAATCAGTAATTAATCATTAGTAAATCAATAAATTTTGATACCGTTTTTATTTCTTCCTCGCTGGAATATTAATTTGAGACTCAAAATTGCATTTTTTTGCAAGGACTCCAAAGAGTAAGTAAGTAAGAGTGTTCATTACATAGTAAGAGCGTTCATTATAGAGTACCTTTTATTTTGAAAACACTATCATAAAAAATAAAGTAATGAAAATCCTTCCTTTTTAATAAAAGTTTTTTTTTTATCTTTCATGACGGAATAATAATTAGACAAATATAAAAGATAATGTAATCAAATATTAAAGTTTGAAATAGTTATTGATATATGATCATTAAGGGATATTAAAAGAAATTAATATCTTTAAACATTTATTCGATTTTCGATATTTATATATTTCGGCGAAGTACAAACTTATTTATGCACCTGAGAAAAAAATATTGTCAAAACAACCAGAACTATCAGGTTTCTGGCTCTATGAGAATATCAAAAAGCATAATAATTTTTACCACTTTGGTAATAATTTTGACAAAATTAACAATAAAATTTTGATAAAATTTGGTAATTTTATCGTGACACTTAATATCATAATTAATAATTATGTATCAAGAAGTTTTATCATGAGCACAGAGAGAAGTTTTTATCATGAGCATTAAAACCATTTATTTGCTTAAATTTAATTTTCAGTTTTGTATATTTTACTAAAAGTGTGATAAAAAGAATTATAGTTTTAAAGATTTCCGGTAAACCGTTACCATATGAATTCTAAAATTACCAAATCAATTGTTTAAATACCATATATTTTGGTTTTATAAACAGAAATTATTTTTTTTTGCTAGAAATGGCATACATTATGGTAATTATTCTGATTTTTTTTCCATGTGGGTAATTTTTTCCTTCAATAAGCACTTATTAGGAAATGACCTTCAAAAATTCAAGGACATATTTTACCTACGAGTTCCACTTACTAAAAAACAGTAAAGTAACAAATGTTATTTTAAATATGATAAGTATAAAAACATGGGCATGAGATTACTTTATTTTATCAAAAATGCAAATTTGTATTATGATAATTCATTCAATTTTTTTGTTAATAAATAAACAATTAAAATCTATCTAAATCACTTTAAAACGTTAGGATGATTAATAAAAATAATAACTAGAGATTTAATTAATACTATGCATGTTTTTTTTTTAAAAAGCAGCATAATAAATTAAATTACTTAAAACATTTATTTTCTGAATTTGTTACTTAATGTATATCTGAAATAAATGTGTGATATTTTATGTATTTAACCATTTCAAGACAAACTTTTTCTTTTCCAATAAAAATACCAATTATAATTTTTATAGATCATATAAGGTAAAAATAACAATATTCTGCCAAAATTAAATAAAAAATTAACTATTTGGACAATTGGGGGTAGGGACAAATGTGTCCTCTAGACGGGACACATATGTCCCAGTGGTGTTTTCGTCTGCCCCGGTAGTATGTCCCGGTGGGGCCGAGAGGATAAATTATATTTATAATATAAAAAAGGATTAATTAAGACCGAAAGGGTCCTATGGAAACATTAAGCAACTAGAAAATAATAATATGTATAATTTTTATTAATGTTTCTTGCGTTACATAAAAATAGAAAAATTGATACTGAATTACTTTACAGATATTTCCAAAGTTAAATAATAACTTTTTTAAGATTAAAGATGAAGTTGTGACTTAAATAAATATGATAAATAAACTCTCATAAATAATATATTTCGGCCTAACTACATTGCACATTTGGAAACAGAAAGAAAATTGTAAAAAAAGAAAAAACTTAATAATTACACATTTTTTGTATACTATGAAATATGATATTTTAACTTATATACATAAAATCACAAGAAGCTTTTTCTTACACACAAATAGTATCAACACCTTGGTAAGTATTTAACCAAGCATAGTAAATCCAAAATACAACATTTTTACAAAATTGTGCCGATCTTGTAAAAATCCGTTTATGTCACAAAAAACAAACAAATAACTCGATTTAGCTCTTTAATGCTGATTTGCATCATAATAATCACATACAACAGACGATGATTTTTTTGTAACTTTGCTGCATTCTCCTCCAAACAACAAAAAATACATTAAATTTATAAACAAACAAAGCAATTGTAGTGCAAATCAAAGAATGTATACACAAACCTTTTAATAACACGATTATATGAAGTTCTTGGTCCAATCATATTTTTTTAATACTTGTTTCTAAAAGCAGCCAAAATATTTGAGTTGAAACAAGTAAAAGTCCACACTACACTATTTTAATGAAGACGCTTTGTGTGAAGAATTATAGTTTCAGAGGAAATACAGCTTGAAGCTTTATTGTCAATAGTAACAGTAAGGAAGCACTACTGCATTTTGTTCCTTTGGCAAAAGTTATCCGATTAAAGATAACGAACAATAAATCAGTTTGATATGAAGTTGTTATCATACCAGACTAGGTAGAGGGGCACGTGTACCACCTTGGCTGTTGGCAAAAGAGGCGTGGTGGTAGTAGAGCGACGGATAAGTTGCTACACTAAGTGTCGAGTTTTCCGTTGCCGCCACTGAAGAGGAACCAGTGTCGTGATACAAAATAGGGACTCTAACCATCCTTTGAGCATGAGCCATATTGGCAGCCTCAAGCTCAGCTGCTAGTTGACGTTTCCACTTGTTGCGCCGATTTTGGAACCATATTTTCACTTGAGTTTCTGTTAAATGTAGGGATGCAGCTAAGCCGGCACGCTCAGAACTAGATAGATATCGTTTCATGTCGAATGTCGATTCAAGTTGGAACACTTGACTGCGAGTAAAAACAGTACGAGTTTTTTTCTTACGACGGTTGTTTTTACTCTTCTTGGAATCACTGTCGCCGTTACTGCCTGTTCCCGTGGAGCCGCCATTGCCGCAACCGCCAACTGTTCCTCCGCTTCCCTGGCCGTGTGGGTGGGGATTGTCGTCGTTGATGGCACCCGGGGATAAGGGACTGGATGCTCGGCTGTCGGAGTTGAGGAATTCGTCGGCCGGTGGAGAGCTGCTCGTCGGCTGACATAACCCTACGGGGGAAATAAAATAACATTAGAGGAATCAGATTGCGTTTTAAAAGAACACTTTTTTTAAGATTGCGGATAATCTATAAAGCAGCAATGCAAATGTTTAGACATTTACATTGCTTTATAGTTTTCTAATATATATCGGTCTTAAGAGTTAATAATAAATTAAGAATATATTAGATTCAATAAATAATAGATTTAAAGAGTTAATCGATTTGAATTTGTATGGTAAATATATTTGATCTACCTAACTTTACGGGGGGAAATAAAATAACATTAGAGGAATCAGATTGCGCTTTATAAGAACACTTTTTTTTTGAGATTGCGGATAATCTATGAAACAGCAAAGTAAATGTTTAGACATTTACATTGTTTTATAGTTTTCTAATACATATAGATCTTAAGAGTTAATAATAAATTAGGAATATATTAGATTTAATAAATAAAAGATTTAAAGTGTTAATCGATTTAAATTTGCCTAGTAAATAGATTTGATCGATTTAAGCATTCTATTTTAATCATACATCTTAGTATATATATATATATATATAGAACTTAAGAGCTAATCTATTTATTAATATATAGATTTAATAAATAATAGATTTAAAGAGTTAATCTATTTGAATTTGCATAGTAAATAGATTTGATCGATCTAACTTTACGGGGGAAATGAAATAACATTAGAGGAATCACATAGCGATTTATGAGAACACTTTCCTTAAGATTGTGGATAATCTATAAAGCAGCAATGTAAATCTTTAGACATTTACATTGTTTTATTGTTTTCTAATATATGAAGATCTTAAGAGCTAATAATAGATTTAGTAATATATTAGATTTAACAAATAATAGATTTAAAGAGTTAATTGATTTAAATTTGCATAATAAATAGATTTGATAGATTTAAGCGTCCCTTATGATAATGCATCTTAAGGTTATCATGAGCTAAATAATAAATTTATAAATTCTTTCTATCTACTGCTTTCTGCTAAAAACAAAATGACATTAAATGCAACAGATGTTGTTTGAACACAATTTTCTAAAGTTGTTTTTACACTTACATATAACTGAAAATATACATTAATAACTAATTCATTTCTAAAAGGTTTGCATTTTATAGGCTAGCACATTTAAAGGTTTGCATATTTCATAAAGTTTTGCACAAAATAATATTAGAGGAATCAGATTGCGTTTTATGAGTACACCTTTTTAAGCTACTGAATAATCCATAAAATAATAATGTAAATCTTTAGACATTATCAGCATTACACTTTTATAGATTTCTAATATTTCTATCGAAAGAGTTAGTAACAGATTTATCAATAAATCGGATAAAATAAATAATAGATTTAAAGAGTTAATCGATTTATATTTGTATAGTAAATAGATTTAACCAATTTAAGCATTCTCTTTTGATAATACACCTTATTATTAAATCGATTTAAATTTATGCACTAAATAATGGATTTATAGACTTTATCGATTTAAAGTACACTGCTTGAAGGTAAAAATAAAATAACTTTAGATGAAACAGACGACGTACGAACAGAATTTTTTTATGTTGTATTTGCACTGGCATATAACTAAAAATATACATTTTTATTTTATTGATTTCTGAAGGTTTGTATTTTATAGGTTTGCATCTTTAAACGTTTACATACTTCATACATATTTGTATTAAACTTACTAGGGGAATCAAATTGCGTTTTATGAGTACACTTTTTTTTAATATTGTATACAATTTATGAACACTAAGGTAAGTCTTTAAACATTTACATTACTGTTGATTTTGAATATTTTTATTTTCAGAGTCAATAAAAGATTTATTAATATTTTTGATAAAACAAGAAAGAGATTTAAAGAGTTAATCTATTTAAATTTGAATAGTAAATAGATTTGATAGATTTAAGCATTCTGTTATGATAGTGCATCTTAAGATTTGATTGATTGACATTTATGAATTAAATAATGAATTTATAAATTTTATCAATTTAAACTATTACTTGCTGCTGAAAACAAAATAACATATGAAACAGATGAAGTACGAACACAATTTTATTAGGTTGTATTAACACTTGCATGTAAGTAAAAATTGACATTACTATTTTATTGATTTCTTAAAAGTTTGTATCTTATAGGTTTGTATATTTCATGCAGGTTTGTATAAAACAGCATTAGAGAAATGATATTACGTATTATAAACACACTTCTTTTAAGACTATGGATAATCTGTAACACAGCACTATAAATATGAAGATATTTACATTGCTGTTTTATAGATTTCTAATATATATTTAGGTCTTAAGAGTTAATAATGGATTTATTAATATATTAGATTAAATAAATAATAGATTTTAAGAGTTAATCGATTTAAATTTATATAGTAAAAAGATTTGATAGTTTTAAGCATCTTCTTATGATAATAGATCTTAAGATTTGATCGATTTAAACTTATGCACGAAATAATAAATTTATAGATTTTATCTATCTGCTGCTTGCTGCTGAAAGTAAAATAATATTAGAGGGAACAGATAACGAACAGACACTATTTTCTCAGGTTTTATTTACATATGCGAATAACTAAAAGTTTGCATTACTGCTTCATTGATTTCTAAAATGTCAGCCTTTTATAGGTTTGAATATTTAAATGTTTGCATATTTCATAATGGTTTTCATAAAATAACATTAGAGGAATCAGATTGCGTTTTATGAGTACACTTTTTTTTAAGATTGTGGATAATATTTAAAACAGAAATGTAAATATCTTTAAACAATTACATGAATGTTTTATTGATTTCTAATATTTTCATCTTAAGAGATAATAACAGATTTATTAATATATCAGATTAGATAAATAATAAATTTAAAAAGTTAATCGATTTAAATTTGAAAAGTAAACAGATTTGATCGATTTAAGTAACCTCTTAGGATAATATATCTTAAGATATAATTTAGTTACATTTAAGCACTAAATAATAAATTTATAGATTTCATCAATTCAAACTAATGCTTGCCGCTTAAAATAAAACAACATTAGATGAAACAGATGATCTACGAACACGATTTTTGCTTTGCATTTTTATGATTAAACAGTAGATTGAAAGAGATGACCAATTTAAGCCAATTTTTAAAACTTGCTGCTATAAGTAAAATATTTTTAAAGGAAATATATTAATTTTTATGGGTTTATATTTTTATTGCAAGAATTAGATTTAATAATCTTATCGAATTAAATTTTTTCCACTAAAATTAGATTTAGATAATAATCAATGAAAACTTATACAGTTAATATATTTAACCTATTTAAGCTTGCACCTATGATAGATTTTTCGAATGAATTAATTGAATCTGAATAATCTATTTTTGGAAGTTATTAATTTTAACAACTGTTTGAAATTCACTGTTGAACATAAAATAACCTTAATGGATTCAGAGGAGGATTTAGAAACTTAATTTTTAAGGTTGTAAATAATTAAAGATTTACATCGCAGTTTTCTGGAATTTTGAGAGCTTAAGATTTGTGTAACAGAATAATGCATTTATCAAGTTAATCGGTAAAAATTTGCATGATTTAATAGATTTAAACTTGCGCTTATACTATCTTGAGTTGAAATTGCGAATTTAATTATGCGAATTTAAGTACCCGAATTGAATAATTGATTCATTGCGTTAATCAATTCGAACTACTGCTTAAAAATTAAAAATAAAAAAATAAAAGGACATACGATAAAACAATTAACGTTTTGATAATAATTTTTTTAAAAATGTATGAAACTGTACACTACTAAACATTTACTTTAAAATTTAATAAATTTTTAATACTTCGACATTATGATTAAATAATAGAATTAAAAACTTGATTTATTCAAATGTATACTGATAATTAATTATTTTGAGCTTGCCCTTATTACAATACATCATAAGATTTAATAGATTTAAATTATTTGTACAATAAGTAATATATTAATAGAATTAATTGATTTGAAATACTATTTTGATTGTTTTAATGATTTTTAATTACGACTTTATAATCGATTAAACATATTTAGGCAAGCATTCTAAGTAATAGATTTAAATATTTAATTGATGTATCCATTAAAAAATAAATTTATAGATTTAATCTCTCTCTCTTCGTTTAAAAAACAAAACTGCTTGCAATAATGCGTGCTATATTTTTGCAAATAAAACAAGGCATTGAAAATTACAAGAAAATTTCCTTTCGAAGATTTTGAAACTGGCGTATCACTTAAATATTTATTTTGAAAATTAATATCAGTTAATATGAATTCTTATATATATAACACCGAAAATATGCTTCTACAATCAATATTTCAATCTCTTAACATAAATACAGTAGATTTTATTATTTACGTAGTAGCATTAAAAATTTTTGTAATTTTTTTCTTTCAATCTTTTGTTTAATAATGATCAAAAATCTTACCTATTTTTTAATATAAGAATTGTTACATGTTACCTAAATAGAATGCTAAAAAATTAGCAAGTAACAACATACCGAATTCAAATATAAATTGGTCTAATAGGTTCGGGAAAAAAATTTAAATATAACTCATTTGTTTAATTTTGGGAAATTTTGATGTGAGTTTCACAACCTGCAGTTCTATTAATTGACATAATTGTTGTCTTAAATTTATTGAGGGTAATAATTTGTGCAGACATAAAATTGTTAAAAATTTTGTACTCTCACCATAATCTCAGTTAAAGTTACAAAAATTTGCTAAAATGTCATTTTGTAAAAAAAAAAATGACAGAGAAAGATATTTTTCAAGGAAACTTTTATAGTAGATTGCTAAAATAATATATACATTACATCATCAAGGAAAACAGGAGAACGAATGCAAGAAAAAAATATAAAATAGCAAGCAATTTTCATATTATGATTCGACAACTGAGACAGATTTAACTATGCAATCTTTATAATATCGTTTAAAAAATAATAAATGAGCTAATCCTCACTAAGTGTTTTTTTAATTTATTATTAAAAT